AGAGAGACAGACATAAGCATAAACACAAGCATGGACAAACACAAGAGACACTTAACTACCAGCCAGTATCATTGATGTCAAAAGTTTTGGAGAAGATACTGTTTAAAAGTATACTGGAAATTTTGGAGAGAATCGATTCTTTATAGAAAATCAGCATGGTTGTATTGATGGGAAATCCCGTTTTACAAATCTGCTGGATTCCTACAACAAAGTCTCAGAGATACAACACGAACAGCTTCTTAGATTGTAAAAAATAAAAGAAGCTTCGATACTGTATACACTAGAGATTAGTGCAGAAATAAGAAGTCAAGACATGTCTAAATGTCAGAAAGTGACAAAGTAATGGATGAAACATCAGAATGAAAGTAACGAGCGGGGTTCCGCAAGAATCAGCTTTAGGGGCATTACTGTTCCTAATGTACATTAATGACCTAGTAGAGGGAACTGAGTCGTGTTTGTCACTGTTGACGATGTAAAACTTAGCGGTTTAAAAAAACCGACAAGTTGAAGAATGAGACACTTGAGCAACATTTGGAAATCTTTGCTCTGGAAACGTATCGTCAGCCAGTGACTTCTTCAGTCCAATACAGAGAAGAATGGTGGAAAACGAGGAAGAGTTGGGGTAATCATTCCCACACCCTGGAGTCGATATGTTCAGTTCATCAATCTTTGTACTGGACTGTATAAGCCAATGATTGGCGAAACGTTTCTGTAGTAAAGATTCCCAAATACTGCTTAAGCGTCTCATTCTTCACACTCCAGGAAGACCACAACACACACACAGATGTGGTCAAGCAAGTGGCTGCTCGAGTTCATGCAAACCAAATACAAAGACATGCGATCTGGAGAAGGTAACAGCAGACAAGACAAAATATCACCAGAAAAACAAATTAAGGAGATTATAAATAGCAAAAGTTAAGAACAGTAACTCAAAAAACCCAAAGATCGAACATAGGACTCAAATTAACGGTAATCGTATGAGCGGGTTAAGGATTTCATGGAGTGAGGACAAAAAACAATGATACTTTAAAAAATTCACGTTACACTATGCTAAAAATAGGATCTCAAATATTAATCACGTACGCTCATCCAGGCACGGTTAAAAACAGATATTTTAAATTCATTACGTGTGAAAGTACCCATTATCACTACGTCTGACACTGGAGAGTAACTTTTAGGTGGTGAAAGGCCCGTTATCATGAGATATCTCTGACCTGACCTCATGTGCTCCTCTCATTATCTACTCATTCTTCCCTCCTCTAACTACCATAGTCGCATCCTCCCACCCTCATCTTCTTACTCCCCGACATATACCGACTCGTCTGCATCCTACCCTCCCTTGTTCTACTCTCCCATTACATCATCGCGTCACTAGTCTTGCTACCCAAACTTGGGAAATCCAGTTAGTGCTACATACACATCTGCCTTTCTATATAAACACAAATATAAACACCTGCCTCTCTAATAAAACAAACATACACACACCATCCCGGTATAAACACAAGTAACACACCACTATATAAACCCGTGTATATATACACACCACATCCCGGTGTATATCACAGTACACACCACTCCCGGTGTATATACTACACACCAATCCCGGTGTATATACTATACACCAATCCCGGTGTATATACTACACACCAATCCCGGTGTATATACTATACACCAATCCCGGTGTATATACTATACACCAATCCCGGTGTATATACTATACACCAATCCCGGTGTATATACTATACACCAATCCCGGTGTATATACTATACACCAATCCCGGTGTATATACTATACACCAATCCCGGTGTATATACTATACACCAATCCCGGTGTATATACTATACACCAATCCCGGTGTATATACTATACACCAATCCCGGTGTATATACTATACACCAATCCCGGTGTATATACTATACACCAATCCCGGTGTATATACTATACACCAATCCCGGTGTATATACTATACACCAATCCCGGTGTATATACTATACACCAATCCCGGTGTATATACTATACACCAATCCCGGTGTATATACTATACACCAATCCCGGTGTATATACTACACCACACACACACCACTCCCGGTGTATATACTATACACCGCATCCCGTGTATATACTATACACCGCTCCCGGTGTATATACTATACACCACTCCCGTGTATATACTATACACCACTCCCGGTGTATATACTATACACCACTCCCGGTGTATATACTATACACCACTCCCGGTGTATATACTATACACCACTCCCGGTGTATATACTATACACCACTCCCGGTGTATATACTATACACCACTCCCGGTGTATATACACTCATACACACCTCTGTCTGAACCCAAGACAAGATGCAATGAACGAATGATAATATACGAAATCATGAACGGGGAATCGAACCGAGGTGGGGTGTGCAGTGAGCCCTACGCTGCACCATGCAACAACTCCGCTTATTATAGACTTATACAACATTCACAGATAGTGTTAGTCAGTGCAACAGGTAACAGAAGTGACTGTTGTAAACCACTCCTGTTGTAACCATTCCTGTTGTACCAACCATCCTTGTATATACCCGTGTATATACCCACACATGCACCTCACGGTATATATACAGATACCTCTCTGTGTATATTAGCAGATATACACATGTACACAGATACACACCTCCCTGTGTATATATACAGATACACACCTCCCTGTGTATATACAGATACACACCTCCCTGTGTATATACAGATACACAACTCCTTGTGTATATACACAGATACACACCTCCCGGTGTATATACGCAGATACACACCTCCCCGTGGATATACAGATACCTCCTGATTTAGATACACAGATACACACCTAATGTATATACAGATATACACATTCCATTGTATATGCACAGATATACACCTCCCAGTGTGTATACACAAACACACCTTACATTGTATATACACAGATACGCACGTCCCGGTATATATACACCGATACACACCTTCCAGTGTATATACACGAATAAACACCTCCCAGTGTATATACACGGATAAACACCTCCCAGTGTATATACGCGGATACACACTTTCCGGTGTATATACACTGGTGTACACGTACAGATTCACATGTACATATACACCTATGGAGTATAGACATACATACCTTGGGGAGTTTATACAAATCAAGACTATAAAGGAATAGCAAGTTGTGTACCACTGAGCGAGGCGGCTGACCAGAGCCAGGCGGCTGACCAGAGCCAGGCGGCTGACCAGAGCCAGGCGGCTGACCAGGCCGGCGCTGACCAGAGCCAGGCGGCTGACCAGAGCCAGGCGGCTGACAACCAGAGCCAGGCGGCTGACAACCAGAGCCAGGCGGCTGACCAGAGCCAGGCGGCTGACCAGAGCCAGGCGGCTGACCAGAGCCAGGCGGCTGACCAGAGCCAGGCGGCTGACAACCAGAGCCAGGCGCTGACACCAGAGCCAGGCGGCTGACCAGAGCCAGGCGGCTGACCAGAGCCAGGCGGCTGACCAGAGCCAGGCGGCTGACAACCAGAGCCAGGCGGCTGACCAGAGCCAGGCGGCTGACCAGAGCCAGGCGGCTGACCAGAGCCAGGCGGCTGACCAGAGCCAGGCGGCTGACAACCAGAACCAGGCGGCTAACCAGAGGAAAAGCCAATTTCACCAACATTCATTTACTGTCTTCCCAGAAGCTTCCCAGAAGCTCAGGTGACTCTCCATACCATAACATCCTCACCTCACCTCTCCATCAGGCACTCTGATAGAGTGCCTGTACCTTGCTTACACTCCAAGAGCACGCCAAATGATTAAACCCGTTTGTTTCCACTCTTTCCCGTTGAACACGCTCACAAAAGCCTGTTATATGTCCAAGCCCCTAGCATTCAAATCCTCCTTTACCATCTTTCCTTCAACCTTTCCTAGAGTTATGCTCCCCCATAGTCATCCTATTTTTCATCACAATCTCTAAATGTTCAACCCATCTCAACAATCCTTCCTAAGTCCTCTGATTAACCCACACCTCTTCGTCTCCAAACTACGAATTCTCTGTATAATATTAACACTTCACATTGTCCTGAAACACATCTCCAGCCTCTTCGCTGCAACTTACGCTTCATATCCACAACAGTGTTGGTACCACTATACCCTTATATATTCCCCTTTCTGATTCCATGGATAACGTTCTATGTCTCTACAGTCGCCTCAGTGCACCATCCACTTGTTCAGTCTTCCTCAGTTCTATGGTTGGCCTCATTTCTCAGCGTCAACTGCAAACCAGTCCACTCCCAGATATATGATCACATTTATTTCTTCCATATCTCTTCCCCACAATCTGATATTCCATCACTGTCTACACTTTTTGATACTCTCATCACTTTTAATTTCCTTTATTTTTTACATCGCCTTCCAAATTCGTCCACTGACGTTAGAAACTTCTGAAAATCTTCTAAACCAACAGTGTTAGTAACACGTTTAGTAACGTGTTCAAGACGGGTTTGTGTTGTATATACCGTCTGTTTAAAATTTATGTTTATTTTCCTAAGGGACAGTTTAACATAACATTTCTGAAAGATCAAACCTAAGGTGATTAATAGTAAACAAGTATTGACCAGCTGTTTAGCTCTTTCTGTGAGTTTACGAGTGTGTGGCCCTAGGCCGCTTGATTTTAATAATTTGGCGTTTACCACTAGACCAGTCTTCAACCCCCCCCCCCCCCATTTCCTTATGTTCCCATAACTTCGTAACAAAGTTACGTGAAAATAAGATATGAAAAAGAGACTAATGGCACATAAGAGGCTATAATACGAGAATATGAATAACGGATAGTGACAAGGGAACATGAATAACGGATAGTGAAAAGAGAACATGAATAACGGATAGTGAAAAGGGAACATGAATAAGGGATAGTGACAAAGTAACATAAATAAGGGATAGTGACAAGAAATATGACAAGGAAACAAACAAGGGAATACGACAAGAAAACACAAGGAGACGTACCTCATGTGACTGCTGACCTCCACCAAAGGAGTCCAGGATAGAGTCCACAAAGTCATGCTGGCCGCCGCCGCCACCTGGACACAAAACACATAATATACATCTTTATTTACTACAAATACATGTACAAGGTATACAGTCCTAGCTGACATCAATGACATACTACTACATAGGAAGCAGCTTGTTATGCTGAACATTTCGGGCAAATTAGATCAGATTTGTTCCAGGGTGCGACCCACACCAGACCACTAACACCCAAGTACCTATTTTAAACTGATGGGCGAAAAGGAACAAGAACAGAAGGTGCCTTATGGAAAGACGTTCCTAATATTTTTCATCCGTACCGGAGGAGATTCGAACTCCGGACCTCAGTGTGTGAGCTGAGAGCGCTAGCGATCCAGATACGGGACACATGGTCATACTGTGTCACTAACACGTGCACTTCATGGTTATAGAACGTGGTGCACAATCCAGCACACACAGTTATATACCACGTGGTGCACAACCCAGCACACACAGTTATATACCACGTAGTGCACAACCCAGCACACACAGTTATATACCACGTGGTGCACAACCCAGCACACACAGTTATATACCACGTGGTGCACAACCCAGCACCCACAGTTATATACCACGTGGTGCACAACCCAGCACACACAGTTATATACCACGTGGTGCACAACCCAGCACCCACAGTTATATACCACGTGGTGCACAACCCAGCACCCACAGTTATATACCACGTGGTGCACAACCCAGCACCCACAGTTATATACCACGTGGTGCACAACCCAGCACCCACAGTTATATACCACGTAGTGCACAACCCAGCACACAGTTATATACCACGTGGTGCACAACCCAGCACCCACAGTTATATACCACGTAGTGCACAACCCAGCACACACAGTTATATATCACGTAGTGCACAACCCAGCACACACAGTTATATACCACGTGGTGCACAACCCAGCACCCACAGTTATATACCACGTGGTGCACAACCCAGCACATACAGTTATATACCACGCGGTGCACAACCCAGCACCCACAGTTATATACCACGTGGTGCACAACCCAGCACACACAGTTCTATACCACGTAGTGCACAACCCAGCACACACAGTTATATACCACGTAGTGCACAACCCAGCACACACAGTTATATACCACGTGGTGCACAACCCAGCACACACAGTTATATACCACGTGGTGCACAACCCAGCACACACAGTTATATACCACGTAGTGCACAACCCAGCACACACAGTTATATACCACGTGGTGCACAACCCAGCACACACAGTTATATACCACGTAGTGCACAACCCAGCACACACAGTTATATACCACGTAGTGCACAACGCAGCACACACAGTTATATACCACGTGGTACACAACCCAGCACACACAGTTATATACCACGTGGTGCACAACCCAGCACACACAGTTATATACCACGTAGTGCACAACCCAGCACACACAGTTATATACCACGTAGTGCACAACCCAGCACACACAGTTATATACCACGTAGTGCACAACCCAGCACACACAGTTATATACCACGTGGTACACAACCCAGCACACACAGTTATATACCACGTGGTACACAACCCAGCACACACAGTTATATACCACGTGGTACACACCCCAGCATTGATAAGCGTCTCCCGGGGATATCCTTCCTAGTAACTCTGGAGAAAAGGAAGATGATTCGTACCATCACACTTTTAAGGTACCAGATCTTCTTGTCTGTGTCATAGCTAAGTGGCATCTTGGTTGGGTCACAGCCGATGGCACCCGTATGTGACTCCCCTTCCCCCTGGCACTGTTCAGGCGTATGACCAAGTCTCCTAAAACTTGCTGGTTCTGTTCACCTAGCAGTCATCAGACACCTAGGAGTCAGTCAGAATTTTGAGTGTCGGATTCTAGATGAAGATTGGTAAATGTCAATCAGAGACTCAAGACAAGTTAGTTTAATATCTTTATTATGCACCCCAGACCCATCCTGTGGGCGGCAGTCAAAAGATTACAGAGGTACATAATGGGTCCAGGGACTGGGCCTCAAAGTTTTGATAGCTGAGCAAGTTACAAAGGTAATGAACTCCAGGTAGGTCTGGTGACTAAAGACAAGGAAAATATGTTTGGTGAGTTATCCTGGTTTATTGATAATAACCCAAACTGTGTGTTCCTACAGCAGAAAATATACATATTTAAGTTGCATCACAATAATAGCGATATTAGATTTAATTAGACTGCAGCATCAGGGACAAGTTGACTATATAAGCTCTTACCAAAGGAACATTACCAGTGTAAACAAGAGCGACACTCGCCACAAACCTAGCGTCACTTTCTAGCCTCAGATTATCAAATTATATTCAGGGAAACACGAAACCCGTAGTGATAAACAGCGCCCTGGGAGAATGTAAGGTAATAAGGTTCCACTCAAGGAAGGTATCAAGAGCTCTTCACCGTCATCAAGGCTTTATTACTGCTTATTATTATCAAGCTGGAAAATACTTTGAGCTTAAGAAAAATAATACTGCCAACATGCGAGGTAAACATGTAACAACACCTGAGGCACCAGTAACATGTGAGTCATATGTGCACCAGTAACATGCGAGTCACATGTACACCAGTAACATGCGAGTAACATGTGCACCAGTAACATGTGAGTCATGTGCACCAATAACATGTGAGTCACATTTGCACCAGTAACATGCGAGTCACATGTGCACCAGTAACATGCGAGTCACATGTGCACCAGTAACATGTGAGTCACATTTGCACCAGTAACATGCGAGTCACATGTGCACCAGTAACATGCGAGTCACATGTGCACCAGTAACATGTGAGTCACATGTGCACCAGTAACATGTGAGTCACATGTGCACCAGTAACATGTGAGTCACATGTGCACCAGTAACATGTGAGTCACATGTGCACCAGTAACATGTGAGTCACATGTGCACCAGTAACATGTGAGTCACATGTGCACCAGTAACATGTGAGTCACAAGTGCACCAGTAACATGAGTCACATGTGCACCAGTAACATGCGAGTCACATGTGCACAAAGCAGCACTACCCACATACACCACCAGGCGGCACTACCCACATACAACATCAGGCAGCACTACCCACACACACACCACCAGGCAGCACTACCCACATACAACATCAGGCAGCACTACCCACATACACCACCAGGCAGCACTACCCACATACACCTCCAGGCGGCACTACCCACATACACCACCAGGCGGCACTACCCACATACAACATCAGGCAGCACTACCCACATACACCACCAGGCGGCATTACCCACATACAACATCAGGCAGCACTACCCACATACACCACCAGGCAGCACTACCCACATACACCACCAGGCGGCACTACCCACGTACACCACCAGGCGGCACTACCCACATACACCACCAGGCAGCACTACCCACATACACCACCAGGCAGCACTACCCACACACACACCACCAGGCAGCACTACCCACATACACCACCAGGCGGCACTACCCACATACACCACCAGGAGGCACTACCCACATACAACATCAGGCAGCACTACCCACATACACCACCAGGCGGCACTACCCACATACAACATCAGGCAGCACTACCCACATACACCACCAGGCAGCACTACCCACAAACACCACCAGGCGGCACTACCCACGTACACCACCAGGCGGCACTACCCACATACACCACCAGGCAGCACTACCCACATACACCACCAGGCAGCACTACCCACACACACACCACCAGGCAGCACTACCCACATACACCACCAGGCGGCACTACCCACATACACCACCAGGCAGCACTACCCACATACACCACCAGGCGGCAATACCCACATACACCACCAGGCAGCACTACCCACACACACACCACCAGGCAGCACTACCCACATACACCACCAGGCGGCACTACCCACATACACCACCAGGCAGCACTACCCACATACACCACCAGGCAGCAATACCCACACACATCACCAGGCAGCACTACCCACATACACCACCAGGCGGCACTACCAACATACACCACCAGGTAGCACTACCCACATACACCACCAGGCAGCACTACCCACATACACCACCAGGCATCACTACCCACATACACCACCAGGTAGCACTACCCACATACACCACCAGGTAGCACTACCCGCATACACCACCAGGCAGCACTACCCACATACACCACCAGCCAGCAATACCCACATACACCACCAGACAGCACTACCCACATACACCACCACACAGCACATACACAACTACACACATACACCACCAGGCAGTACTACCCACATACACCACCAGGTAGCACTACCCACACACCACCACACAGCACTACCCACATACACCACCAGACAGCACTACCCACAAACACCACCAAACAGCACTACCCACATACACCACCAGGCAGCACAACCAACACACACCACCAGGCAGCACTACCCACATACACCACCAGGCAGCACTACCCACATACACCACCAGGCAGCACTACCCACATGCGCCACCAGGCAGCACTATCCACATACACCACCAGGCACCACTACCCACATACACCACCAGGCAGCACTACCCACACACACACCACCAGGCAGCACTACCCACATACACCACCAGGCGGCACTACCCACATACACCACCAGGCGGCACTACCCACATACAACATCAGGCAGCACTACCCACATACACCACCAGGCGGCACTACCCACATACAACATCAGGCAGCACTACCCACATACACCACCAGGCAGCACTACCCACATACACCACCAGGCGGCACTACCCACGTACACCACCAGGCGGCACTACCCACATACACCACCAGGCAGCACTACCCACATACACCACTAGGCAGCACTACCCACACACACACCACCAGGCAGCACTACCCCATACACCACCAGGCGGCACTACCCACATACACCACCAGGCAGCACTACCCACATACACCACCAGGCGGCAATACCCACATACACCACAAGGCAGCACTACCCACATACACCACCAGGCAGCACTACCCACACACACCACCAG